TTTTTATGTTTTCTCAGATAACTACACATTAAAAGCCGATTAAATCTGCTTGAGCCTTAACAGGTTGAACACTATGAATTTAAAACAAAACAAAATGGTGTTAGGTTATTGCACATTTGATTATTTCCTTAACTCAGTTGAGCATATTTTATAACTGACCAACATAGAAGCATCTGTAATGTCTTGTTTAACATGATCGCAGTTATCATTTAATTTATTTCTCTGTACCAAACGCTGTCATATTTCACTGTAACAACTATGAGAAGTTTGAATTCTCCCCATTTTACAAAGAATCTGAAACTCTCAGGAATTAAGTAATTTGACGAAGATTACGTAGCTAGCAAGTAATGTAACAAGGATACAAATACAAATAATTCCAATGCCTATGCTAATCACATGAAAGAGCCATCTTTGGCAGCATTGCCCAAGTAATGCTATGTAAATGCTTTAAAAAAAGTTTTTTTAAGTATTTACCTGAGATAATGGTAAATACTATTGACTGTAATGAAATGTAACCACTGCATTAAACAGTAACATCTTGATTATCAGAAAGTATGGTAGAAGCTCTCCTAACTTTCAGTTAACCTACTAGCAAGATTGACCAATGCTTTCCCCCCTCCATAAAAGCAAACTAAAAGACACTAATAGCTAATAGGGTACAACAGGTTTTTAGATATCATTGTTAACGTTGTTTCATTATAATGTTGACGAAAAAATAATTGATTTTTAGACGGGGAGGGGGGGTTAAGGGGTGGGAGAGTGGGCACCGTCTGTGTGGAATTAACACGTCCTCCCATGTCTGGGTGGGTTTCCTCCCACTTCCCAAAGATGTGCATGTGAGGTGAATGGGGTGTCTAAATGGTCCTAGACTGAGTATGGGTGTGTGTGTGATGCATCCTGCAATGGAAAGGCATCCTGTCCAGGGTGGTTCCCGCCTCCTGCCCTGAGCTGCTGGGAAAGGATCCAGCCACCTGTGACCCTGAGCTGGAATAAGTGGGTTGGAAAACAATTATCTGCCTTGTTGTTTTAATTATTTTTTTATCTTCTTTGTTTTTATTAATCTTCTTAAATATATGTATAGCTCACATTTATTTCAATGTTTAATAGTAGAAGTGTTTCGAGTCTTTATTTAAAAGTCTGATGATGTTTCTGTGACTAGAACTATGCCACTGGAACTTAACTTTTGTTTATTATCAATTAGCCTATGGTAATATTGGTGTTTTCAAAATATATTTGTTTTTTAAAAAAATATATTTTTATTGATTTCAGAGAGGAAGAGAGAGAGGGAGAAACATCAAGGATGAGAGAGAACCATTGATTGGCTGCCTCCTACACACCCTGCACTGGGGATCAAGCCCGGAACCCAGGTGGAACCCAGGTATGTGCCTTGACCAGGAATCAAACTGTGATCTCCTGGTTCATAGGTCGACGCCCAACCACCTAGCCACACCGGCTGGGCTACTGGTTTTGTTACACATTTGCCATTTCCAAGAACATATCCATGACATTAAGTGAGGACTTATTGTACTTGCCTGCATGCTTTTACTTCTACTAGTAGAGTTGTATGTTTAGTATCTGGTGTTTGTTCCCAAATCTGTTTATGCCAATCAAAATTAACTAATTTATTTAAAATATTATACAGACCAATGAAATGAGTGCAAAAAAAGAAGTTATTTCAGTGAAAACTATGTTGAATGCTTTGGAGCATATTTTGATGAATATAATTTTGGTGAGCATATACTCCCTTCTCCCTCAAAACAAATACCTATAAGACACCTATAAAATTGTGAAACATTAAAAATAATTAAAACTTTTTAAAATTTAAAAGATTCTTCCTTCAGATTGTTCTGTAAAGTCTTATTCCATGTTAAAAAATCAAAATTAGCCCAGCCGGCATGGCTCAGTGTTTAGGCATCAACCTATGAACCAGGAAGTCATGATTCCATTCCAGGTCAGGGCACATATGGGCTTGCAGGCTTGATCCCAGTAGGGAGCATGCAGAAGGCAGCTGATCAATGATTCCCATCATTGATGTTTCTCTCTCTCTCTCTCTCTCCTTCCCCCTTCCTCTCTGAAATCAATAAAAAAAAATATTTAAAAAAAACAATTAAAAAAAAACTTTAAAAAAATTGAAACCAGATGTTCATATGGTGTGCTTTATAAAAAATAAAAGATTATCTCTGAAAAATGGGCCCTATTTTACTCCCTAAAAGGGCCAGACCCTAAAAGATAGAGGTGAAAATTATGGGTGTTATTTTTAAAAAATATATATTTTATTGATTTTGTTACAGAGAGGAAGGGAGAGGGATAGAAAGTTAGAAACATTGATGAGAGAGAAACACCGATCAGCTGCCTCCTGCACACCTCCCACTGGGGATGTGCCCGCAACCAAGGTACATGTCCTTGACCGGAATTGAACCTGGGACCTTTCAGTCCGCAGGCCGACGCTCTATCCACTGACCAGTTAGGGCGAGGGGGTGTTATTTTTTATAATTCCTCACGTAAAATAACTTTTTCAACTAGCCAACCATCACACCCAATCATGTAGGCATAGTATTTAGAAACTCTCTGAAGCACAGCTGTATCTCACTAAGCAAATGTCTCACTGTTTCCACACTAGAATTCATACATGACTCAGATTCTGAATGAATACCCAAGGGTTCCCCGATTTACTCTCATTTTATAGAGAACTCAACGTTAAGTCTGGTGGTTATTTAGCTCTCTAGCCCAGAGATCTAAAGCCATGAAATTAAGTGGAGGCAAGAATAAGCATATGCATATTAGCAATGAAAACTGTTGACAGCATGAGGATTTAAAAATCAAATCTAATACACAAAAATCTGCAGAAGTGGTTTAAGCTCGAGGCAAAAAAAAAAATCTTATAAACTTAAAATTCTCTTTAGGGCATTTCTAGGTTATGACAGAGTTCAAAGTTGAAATTCATAACAATGCCCCATTTACTATTAAAGATTAAACTACATTGATTCCATAGATCTTTTTATTAAAGGGCAAAAAAGCATTACTATTTTAGAGGTCTGTCCACATATCATGATTACAATCGAAAATATTTTTGGCACTGAAAGAGTAAACTTTCAATTATCCAGAAAATTCGCTCATATAGAACAGTTTCTTAGACACCAATGTAGAAAACAATGAAGTATCACTGTCAGCTAGGTAAGTGTTGCCCATAACTGTGCCGTTCCAAATGCAGGTCAAGAAATCAATTCAATGGGTTGTGACAGCAATTTTTAAAAATAGAAATAGAACAGTAAATACAAGCCATGTTGCACAAACTGACGTAAGTTTTCTTTGTGAAAAGTTTATTTCAGTATTTCTATACTACTTTGCAAAGTAAAAGACATTACTTACTCTGGGTTCTAGTCAAAAGAAATGAGCCATGGGCCTAAAGACTCAAGTAATTATTGTGAAATATAATTACAGTACCAAACTTGCAATCCCATCATTTTTACACCATAACGCTTAAGAAAGATACAATTTTA